CCAATTCGTCTGCTTTAATGAGTTTAAACCCAATAAATCATCCCTGAAACTGGATATCCTTATTCAAGGGAAAATACTTGCTCGAAACTATCGTAATATAACCTGCTACCGAGCGCTATATTTATTTTTGTTTGTCCGAATTCCTTTGATATACTCGGACAAAAAAAGTTACCTCCTTATTAAATTAAAGAAATTCTAATTAATTAGCGATAATTTGATACAATAGTCGACTAATTTTTTTATGATACGTCCGCTTAAATGCCTCGGGCTTCAACGTTGGTGTGAGACTTCAATGCGCTTTTTTTTTACTTTTGTTTGTGTTTATTACTACTCGTTCATATATTATCTCAATAATGTCAAAATACCGTTTTGTCGAAAAAAATTGTTGTTTTTTAGCTTTGAATTTTTTCTGTTTTTTAGCCCGTTTTTTTTTTGAAGAAAAAGTTGCGCTTATATATTAATTTTCCTTATCTTTTTGCTTAAATCTACACAATAAGTTTGAGGTAGGCCCTTTCCGATTTTGCAAATTTTTTTCAAAGTTCCTAGGGACAACCCTAAATGGGGGCACGAAAAAATATTGATTTTCACGAAATCTGGTATCTGGGGGTTTTTGAACATGAAAATCACTAATTCGAAATTAGTTTTTAAAAATCCGAAAAAAAAATCCACTGCAATTCTTGACCGGCCTATGATAATGGAGAGAATTACACACAATTTAATTGGTTAAAGTTAAGTCTACGTTACTCATTCTTCCAATACTCCTGTATACCTCCAATGGTCGATTAGAATGCAAATCTAGTGACTTTGAAATAGTTGGTGACCGGTTGGCATGGAGATGATCCATAACGAATAGCTGACAATAAAATCATATAAAAACCATGAGGTTTGAATATGTTACCCAGAAGCAACAAGCACCCATTTAATCCCATCATCAGAAATCGCTTATTATCACAATATTAACAAGAAAGTACCTTCAGCCTAACTTAGAACTCAAAAAAACCTCATCTGTAAAGCACGAAAAGGTGAACTTCTAAAGTGCCTCGCAAATCATAGAAAATTTTTTATGAAAAAGGTTTAAAAATTATTTAAAAAATAACTTCTCCGTTATGCGTTTCATTAACAAAGTAAACAGAGTCGTCCCCTTGGTCGACAAATTCCTTCGTACCGCAAATCCCGCGGGATCCCGGTATTTCGGATCCCATAATTTCAAACAATTCCAAGATTGGGCTACTAGTTCAAAAGTTACAGCCCTTTGAACTTCCTTTCGAAATTTGTTTAGAGTCTATAACTTTTGATTGAGAAGTGTAATCGAAAAAGTACGAATTGTTTTGGATTCTACGCACCAAAATTAATAAGAAAAAGTGTTTTCCCGAGAAATTTTGGTGTAGTCGATTTTTGGTAAAGAAGGAAGGTTATACACTGCCTATTTTTGAGGTCCGAGAAAAAAATTGTCTCAGATCGACCCGGAAAAAAATTTTTCTTATAGAATGTGGCATGTAGATCCCATAATTTCAAACAGTTCCAAGATTAGGCTACTAGTTCAAAAGTTACAGCCTTTTGAATTTTCTTTCGAAATTGGTTTCTAGTCTATAACTTTTGATTGAGAAGTATAATCGAAAAAGTACGAATTGTTTTGGATTCTACGCGCCAAAATTAATAAGAAAAAGTGTTTTCCCGAGAAATTTTAGTGTGGTCGATTTTTGGTAAAAAAGGAAGGTTATACACTGCCTTTTTTTGAGGCCCGACAAAAAAATTGTCTCAGATCTCACGTTGTGTTACGACTTCACGCGCTTTTTCTACTTTTGTTTGTGTTTATTACAAATCGTTCATATATTGTCTCAATAATGTCAAAATACCGTTTTGTCGAAAAAAAATTGTTGTTTTTTAGCTTTTAATTTTTTCTGTTTTTTTGCCCGTTTTTTTTTAAGAAAAAGTTGCGCTTATATATTAATTTTCCTTATCTTTTTGCTTTTTCGTGAAAAAAATGAAAAAAACTTTTCGTCAACAGGGCACAGAATCTGCACTAAAAAATACAATTTTCGTTGAAAAACTATAGAAAATTCATATTTCTCAAACCTTAAGATCCCAACACTTTTTCAACGAAAATTTTATTTTTGTTTTTTTAGCGCAGATTCTGTGTTCTGCTGATGGAAAGTGTTTTTTATTAGTTTTTTTTAATTTTTTTTAAAATAATTTCTAAATCAGTTATTGTTGTAAGTACACGCAAGTCCAATTTAGGGATATTAGGACACTAATTACATCAAATGTTGCGATTGATATTAAATCTACACAATAAGTTTGAGGTAGGCCCTTTCCGATTTTGCAAATTTTGCAACTAATTCGAAATCAGTTTTTGAAAATCCGAAAAAAAAAATCCACTGCAATTCTTGACCGGTCAATGATAATGGAGAGAATTCCACACAATTTAATTGGATTTGATGGATCTCCGCAACGGCGAGAGATATAGTGTAGGCTCAATGGTGGCAAAGCTGTCCCTTTTTATGACTAAAAAAACGCTTTTAAAGTTTTTGAAAAATCTTTGAAAATAACCGAGATATCCTCAAAAAAAATGTCAAATTTTTTTGGAGAGTTGAAGAATCTTAATCTGTTATCAGAATTTCCATAGCACGCTAGATGTAGAAGCTACAGGCTAATATTTTTTCTTCGGGTCATATTGGATTTTTACGGAATGAGATAGAGAACAAAAAAGAAAAAAAAATTCAAAATTAAGTTTTACATTCATTTCTCAACAAAACATCCACGGGTAACTAGATCTTGCTGAATCAACATAGCTATGATGGCGATACACTTTTTTTACTCATTTGAAAATTGTTCCTTCGGGTCAGAAATTATCCTACTCCTTAACTAATGAGTCATCTAATTTCGCATGTATATAATTAGTTGAAAATCTCGTAAATAACAATTTATGTCGATACTTGGAATTAATCTCGGAATTAATTGATCATTAAATGATATTAAAAAATTGTAGCCGATCGATCATGGTATTAAAGTTTACAAATTCCATTCTCAGATGATATAGATTATAGATTGTGCGTGGCTGCGTGTGTGGAGAAAATGTTATTTAAGTAGAGTTCCATCGCAATAAATACTTAACCATTATTCCAAGTATTACACAATATCGACCTAAATCGTTCATTTTTTGTTATTTGGGAAATTTTCAATTAACTACACAGTCGAAATTAGTAGGCCGGAGATACTTTTCTGACCAGATGGACCAATTTTTCATTCAAATGAGTATAACTATTGTTTGAAAGGTGATTTTAAAAACTGTTCGCCAATATTTCGCGGAATTCTCTCAATTTTCGTTGTCCGGTCAAGAATTGCAGTGAATTTTTTTCGAATTTAAAAAACTAATTTCAGATTCGTGATTTTTATGTCCAAAAACCCCAGATACCAAATTTCGTCGAAACTTTTTTGAGGGTGGCCCGGTGGCTCTCAAACAATTTTTTTACATATTTATACTCGTATTTATATGTAACACTCTGTAGTTGGAAAGAGAATTTTGTACAGTTTCAGAATAGGTATATGTAATAAAATTTTGCATTATTTGCTGCACCTAATACATTTGATTTTCAATTGGTTTTTCTTTTTGGCTATAACCGATAATGCAAAATTAAATGTAGAACAACTTTAATTTCTTCTAGAACATTTTGTCAGTAGCCGAGATATCCACTGTGACAGCTAAAATCAAACGTTTACGTGTCCATATGTATATTTTTGAATATTTATTGATGTATCATTACTGCTAATCTCGCATGAAAAGAATATGGAAAATCCCGAGGATATACCACCAAACACAATTTTGAAACAGTAGCGACACTTTTTTCTTATCCTATGCATGCAATGAAAGAATATCAAAGTAAGGGTTTTTTAACAATATCAATAGATATAAATTCTAGAGGCTTAATAATAATTTTACAAAAGCCTTTCAACAAAACGTTCCAGCGGAAAGTTTAATTAGCGTCCATAGCTTTAGTTCTATTTTCTCTATAAATCCGAAACTGAGTTGGCTCACAAATATTGTTGGCGACAGACGTCTGGATGCTCGTCTAGTCATCGGGAATATTTTTGCTTTACAGACACGACGGTGACTCAACCGAGATAATGAGTTCATGAACACCCTGTACTCGAGCCTGTACTTCACCTTTTCTGTTTCTAACCATTTGTCAAACTTCTATGTATATAAATACTTTTGTTATCGCAGGAGCATTAAATCTGTCATTGGATCCACCCTCCTGTGCCTATGTTAAAACTGTTGTCGTATAACAAACAAAGTAAGTATAAAAAATTATCAACGTCTGGAGATTATAATTAACATATAATTAGTAAAAAAGGAATTATTATGTATACAGATTTCAACACATCTGTTTGAGATTAGGAAATTACCCAAGATTAATCAAAGTAAAAATATGTATCTAATTGTGCAAAAAGTCTCGTTTTCTTAGTGTCTACTTATAATTGAAAGATGCGCGAGGGCTTCTTACAAACAGGAAGGGTGTGTGAGAGAACTGGCTTGTCGTCCAGATGTGTTTGAAACGAAAATAAATCCGTAGATCAGTTTTACGGTTCGCTTTATCTCATTCAGGCTCAAAGGTGACGCGAGGTAAAAGAGATAACGCGTTTTGAAAATTTGTAAATTGAAATGCGAAAGTGTTGCTATCGATTTGATATGATACAATGTCAATATTCGGGAAAACCCAACGATCATTAGTGGTAGGTACCTACCTACGGTCAAAGAAAGGACGGAAAAGGTCTCAAGCCGTGGGAATCTTCATTTTTCAGTAAAATAGATCATTATTAACCTCATCATTTTGCGGCTAACAGGCGAAAAAGAGCACCTGCTCGACTGGTGCAATAAACAACCCCTACCATATGGATGCGGCTTAAAGGCGACACCTTTAATTGAAACCCTTACGAGCGATTATTGCACAATACTAATGATAATTGAATTCGATTAGTGAGTATTATAAACCACTTACCAAGCTTTGACACGAATTAAAACTTCTCCCTCGGCGAGGGTTGGTTCGGGTTTCTTTAAGATTTTTACGGATTTCAAACCACCAAAGCCGGTGAGGACGACCGCCCTCATTTCTTTCGGCGGTTCGGGATCCGCAACAGGTTCGGATTCGCCGGTACCATTTTCTTGAATTTCCTTCTTTTCGGGGGTGGAATTCTCCTTTGGCTGCTGTTCGTCTTGAGTTGGTGCGTTATCTCCTTGTTCGGACATTTTTTTAATTGATTGATTAGGGCGAGACAAAGAATACGAGATTTAACACTAAACGAAAAGACGCTTCCACACACTAAGACACGAATGCAACGAATAACGAGTGGCGAGTGTTGGTTAGGGAGAAGAAGACGTGCGCGAGTAACAGGTGCCGGGGAGCGTCGGGACTTGCGCACGAATTTCAAATATCAGAGCCACCCCTATTTGATGAAAAGCTTAGTAATTTTAATTTCGTATGAAAAAGCACAATATCCCCCCAAGCATTCTTATTTATAACGTTCAAGTTCGATTTAAATTTAATGAAAATTTAATAGCAGCTGCGAAAATTACAGCTACAAAGGCAAAACGAGTCCGTACTCCCAACCTCCTAAAATCGACATTATCAATATTTAAAATTTAAACAAGCACATGATACATATGATGAATTAACATATGATTAATTATTGAAACGAAATTTGCCAATAGTCATTGAATAATTAATTTTTTATTCAATGCAATAGTGTACAAACGTGTGATTAATTCATTGGGTCCATGTTGACCTCTTCACACGCAAGTTTAATGCTTTGCCTAACTGTCCAGGTCTCTTATATCCCAAAGAAACAGTCCTGTAGGACTTGTGTACATATGGTAGGCAACACACAGTGCTCCGATAAAATTGATGACACTACCGACCAATGATTAATGAATAAAGAATACCTACCGACACAGATTTGTAGTCATGTGCAATGATGTGCTACCGGTCACGTACCCAAGGGAGGGCCTTGTTTAAATACTTAAACAATGGTGCGGGGGATGAAAATTACACATTAATAGAAAAAGCAAAAATTTTTTGTATACAGGCTGTTTCACGCAAACCGTTACCTAAAAGTATTCAAACTCCCATTAATTAATTAAATCTGAAAATTTGCATACCGGACAATATTATCATGATCATTTCACTTCCGGTTTTCCCGGCTGTAGTTCATCCGCCATGTCAAAAAACAGCCAAACGTTCTTACGAAATACTGCTTTTGTAGTTGAATTATCGGTTATAGTTTTTTAATTAGACATAATTAATCAAAAAATCGTTTTTCATAAATCATGAATATAGGCAAAGAGTACCCACTCTTTGATATAGGTAAACAGCCGTTGTAATCTGTTCAAAAACGATCAGCTCCAATATGAAAATGCGACAGTATATTGTACATTGGCACTTTTTATTTCCATTCTACATACTATCATAACACAAATATTTAAAAAACGTAAGGATAGGCAGCTAACACTCCTTCAGTGGTCAACGTGTTTCGTTCCTCCAACACCCCGAGGGATACTGGAGGCGGGCTGCTCAAAATTTCCTGACCCTCTTCAGCCAGAGGATGGGTAAAGTTAAGGTTGGGTACGGAAGCAAGGAACGAAGTTAGGGTGATGAAAGGGAAGGGTACTGCTCCGCCACTCGCTAGCATTATGCGAAGCGACGTACGTCAGAGGAAAGCCCTCTGAGAAAACCCTGGACAGAGCACAACCACTGCACCATCACCGGCTTCAGAACACAAAACAAACTCCCCTACACATTCTTACTCCCTTTCAGAATAAGCTTTTACTTAATAAACTCCCATCATTGGGTGCCCTTAGGTACTATTAAATTGTTTTTGTTTCCTTTAAAAAGCATAAGCATGTATTTTTACTATCTATTCTTACTGTCATTGTCATAATGTGTTTAAGGCTACTTAATCTAAAATCACCACTGTAACTTTGGGGCACTTGGCGATCTAAATATAGTGTAGCGAATATTCTATAAATCCCGATAGATAACGAGGCGTCATGAGAGAGATTAGTCTCGGCGCTAAGCGGATTCTTTTAGGGAATAGGAATAGGACATGTTTGATCTAGAACATTTGGAAGCGTTCGAGAGAACTCGGATAACATTCTAGAAAGATTGTTGTTTGCTATATAAGCAAATCGAATTGTTTCGAATTAGTTATAACATTGATGCGCTCGTGTGAGTGATAAATAATAATCACTGTTATAAAATAATCCATTTTAAGACTGTTGTACATTTAAAGTTAGTTAATTGTAAATATATAAATCACATAGGTAATTAAATTTACGTTACAAATATAGGTATTATTTTTATAGATGATTTTCATTATCTATCAGTATTCAATTCGTTTTTGTTAATCATATGACCCACTAAAACTGTACATATTCGTAGCTATCGCCAATTTTCCCACAGTTCCAGGAATGAGTCTAGTTTGGTTTTAAGGAATACTAGTTGGCCTGCCAGACGATGTCCTGTCTTAACTAAGAATATTCAATTCGAACTGGAAATAATAATAAAAAAACATGGATTTTTCAGTTTCATCTCACAAACACTGCCGCTGCTCTTGCTATTTAACTATCAACATTTTCAAAACGTCTGCGCCTTTGTACTTCCGATTCGTATGTCATCAAATTCTTTGGTACGAAAACCCTACTGGAGTAGCCCACACAAATACTTAAATCAACTACGGCCACAGAATGGCAATTAAACAAAGTCATATAAAAACAAACACAAGGGATACAATATAGATGCAGTGGGAGGCACGAAAAATCAAATCAAATGCAGTTAAATCAATAACAAAACACAAAAATTGACAAACGTGATCAATGAATCGGTACAAAAACGCATTAAAAAAATCTACAATCAATTTAGGCAAAATAACTCGTAATAGTAAATTGTTGTACAAACTTCAAAAGAATGGCACTAATCTAGCATAGACTTCAATTAATTTAACACGAAAAGTAAGTATATTATCCATAATCGCCCAAACAATTATAAATAGACGAAATGTTAATGAGGGGACCTCCTTCTTGCATATTGCTAAACACAAAAGCTGCATTTCGCAAGAGATGATCAAGCAACAGATATAGCGAAGAATCGGACTCATACAGAGAAACATCAAATTAGACGAGGCCCCCCCCCCTCGTATAGATTGCCAAGAGCTGCAGTTCACACAAGATGAAGGAGCAACATATGCCTCATTTACGACAATGTAGTTTACGAACAAGTCCATAGATACATTACACTTCAATTCAATAATTTCCGCATATTTAAAAGAATTAAAATTTATCAATTTAACTTTGGATCACGACCATGTCATTTAAAACATAACCACAAATTGAGCAAACATTTACATAAAACATGAAAGTGATTTCAAAACAATAAAAGTTAACGATATCAAACACGTAATCCTGCATTGAGGTTAAATCATGTCAATTTCAAAAACAAAGATGGAAAGTATAAAATGTTGCTTACAGAACACAAATAAAGTTATAAATAACACAAAAAAACTGGAACCTGAAAGTAGGAAATAGGCAAAGGTTAATAAATGAAACCTGTGTGGTTCTTTCCGCCCCTTCTGCGCCGGTGTATCCCACTTACAACCCCTACTTTCCGACTAGGCACCCTTCAACAGATTTAAAAAGTTGACGTTGAAATAGATTCCTTTTAAAAAGAAGAAGTGAGGTTTCAATTATTTTGTACATGTGGATATATCAAATCAATCAAATTCCTGCTTCCAGCCCATTAGACACTTGGCACTCAGAGAATGGAGAAAAAATATAAAATTCTGCTATTGTGTTCAGAATGGGATCCCTCCACTTAATGACCCTTAGTACAGTTGGCGGTTGAGAAATGAAAAGTGGGAAATTTGGATGAATAAAGTGAGAAATAAGGTCTAAACTTACCTGACAGGTTTTAAATTCGAATAAATAGTAAATCAATACTTATAGGAACTATTTCTAAGTGTATTTCTCAATAATAAAACTTTATTCTAAGAGAAACAATGACGGGTAATTACAACAAATGTAAATTGAGAGATAAATTTCTGAAAAAAATTAAATTGTCAACATAATACTAAAAATACATATAGTTCTATTTGAGACAGTTAAATAACAAATTAATCTAAATCTAAGGAATCAAAACCCTTCTGAGTCTGACACCATTACATTATTCTAAAATTTAGCTCTTTACATTAAACACATTAAAAACAAAAATAATGTGAGATCAAGACAACTAATTACTTTTATATAGTATCACTTTGGATATATGTAATTAACATTTTATCATTTCAAGTTTTGCTCACGTATGAAACTGAATCGTTCTCGGCACGATAGAAGTACAAATTAAAAAATACACAAAATACACATTAAAATTATTTCACGCGCCACCATTGGAATTTCGAAAAAGGCTCAGTCTCTTATTATCAAAAAGGCAGTTTCATAGTTAAATAAATTACAAACGTTCAACATGGAGAATTTTAGCAAAACACACATTTACTCCGTCACTTGACTTCTTCGCTGTTCCACGAGGGACTGCATTTTTCGCTGGACTTTATTATTAGGTGTGTAAGTGTCTTCGTCGTAACCTAGCAGACGTTTACCGACAATATGTTTATTAATGGCATTGTTAATTTTTTCCAAATCCTATAAAACAGTTGTAGTTTCGTTCTACATTCTACAAAAATAATACCTTTGATGGACTCCTACTGAAGTGATATTCCAAAGAGTTCGTCTTACTACCACCATTTGTTGGTGTATCATACGAAGTGATGTACAAATTATCGGTTATCTGGCACCGAGGAGATGCAAAGTTGTTGTTAATCAATGGGAGAGGACTGAGGGCGATGTTAGGATCCTAAACAGAGCTTTAGAAATAATTCTGTGTTATATTTTGATATACCTGTTCTTTAAATTGTAAAGCAAAGCTTTTTATTGCTAGAACATAAACAGTGTTATAAAATGAGATCAGATCACCCCTTTTCTCGATATCCGAGTTAATACCTACAGAACAACGAGATTATAATGAAAGCAAGTTTTAATACAACCTTCATCAGTTACTTCCTGTGTGCTACTTCGATCTATTAAAACGTTTCTGTAAATATGACTGCTAGCCTGGGGTTGCCCTCTGTAATGTTGCATGATTTCAGCAAATTTTTGCTCCCTCGTGCTTGTCACCTGCAACGCAATTCGAATACTAATCCACAAAATGAAGAACACATCACACTTACTTTACAGACAACGTATACCGCACACATTAATAATTGATCCAAGTGACGATCCTTTATTAAATGCGTATGATCTCGAATTGAATATTCGAAGACCGTCCAAATCTTTTGTGTGAATTTTAAATCGGTGATGTCTAGTTTATTGCACAGCTGCTTCATGCGCGAATATGCCAGGTTGTAGAACTTAAAATGAAATTTTTAATTGGGACTAAAAAAAGAAATGGCTTTGGCGTACTTTGCGTATGATAATCGATAGGCTTCCCGATTTTTTCGGTCTACCACTCGAAGGTGAAGATCCCTCCGCTTTGACGGGCGTTGTTGAAGTTGAATCTATCGGTTTTTCTAACACAATTAGTTGTTTGGTACCATCTTTGTCCACCATCACTAAAAGGAAACCTTGTAGACTCAATGGGTTTATGCAACTAAAGAGGATTTATCAGATAAGTTTAACTAAAACATGCGAGATTAACTCTAAATGAAGTAGTTTATAGGTACAATTAACTAAGGATTCTCTTGTACTTTCTTAGAGCCGTTTTATAAACAAATTTTGTACTGTACTGTTTTACACACACAATATTCTTGCGAAAATGTTCGGTCTGAATGCTGCCTGTTCCTATCCCTGTCTGATTTCACATGTTCTCTTAGTCTTTTTTCCAATATTTTTGTATACAGGGTGTTTTTTTGGGAGCTTTAGTTAAACGTTTCTGGGAAAGTAAAATACGTAGGTTTTTGAAAATTTGTACTTAGGAGTTACTCTGAAGGCCGAATCTATGTAAAATATTTTCAAAATGTCCGCACTTCCGGAAACACCGGAAGTAGATAGTAACTTCGTTATTTTAAATGGCAACCCCTATTTTTTATTGCATTTTTGGATTCTACGTGAAATTTCAGTTCTTTTGATACCCATATGTCAATATCTGCCATTTATGGTTTTTAAGTTATTTTGACTTTAAGAAAAAAAATGGCGGATGCAGATGGTACCTTGATAATTGATTACTTGAAAAAGGTTATAGTCATGGCAACCCATTTTTATCAGTGCATAGAGAATGAATAGGGCTTTCTTTTACTGTACTTAACACAAAGTTAAGTTGCGTACAACCACACCTATGGAGATCCAAATTTAAGAAACTTCAAAGTCTATAAACTCAGTTTTTTTAAATGGAATGACCATGTTCTTAATATTGCATGAGATAGAGAATCAAAATTGGCATATTACATGTTCCTATAGCTATCTTTAACAGTTTCTGATTTATTCCCATTTCATTGAATTGATCTCGGAATTGATGCCATTTTTTTTCGCATTGTCTTTTTAGTAGTTGGCCATAATTTTATAACAATCGAATTTTAAACAAATCATGGAATGGATTCTTTAATACCACTGATTCTAGTTCTAGTCTAAATAATTCATTAATAAATAACTCATTTATTAAGGATATAGGACAGAAAATTTTTGAAAAATCTAAACAGAGTCGTTCAACTGAATTTCTTAAACAACGTATAAGTCTGGAAATTAAGAGAGGTAATGCGATATCTGTTCTAGCAGCAAAAATGTTTCAAGAAAGTTTTTTATATTTTGCATTGAATTTATTTTGTTAATCTTGCATTTTCAATTCAATTCATTTTCTTAAATATTCTCTTGTAGAGCTTTGTATCACTTGTGCTTCAACGGTTTGTAGTGCATTAGGGGTACAAAATTTCTAAAATTCATACAATTTCGTTCTAGTTTTCGAATGAATGTACGGAAAGCACGCGCCGCGATTCTGCCCATTTCACCATAAATAACAATTAAATTCCAAAATAGGTGAAACCACTGCGAGTCATTTTTCGATTTTTGAAAAACTTATGTTAACCTATAACAGTGGGTGATGGATTAGTGTCACTAGATTTGTTTAAAATTCAATTGTTATAGAATCATGGCCGACTACTAAAAAGAAAATCCTAAAAAAATAGTGTCAATTCAATAAAATGGGAATAAGTCAGAAACTGTTAAAGATAGCTATAGGAACATGTATTGTCAAAATATGCCCATTTGGATTCTCTATCTCATGGAATAGTAAGAACATGGTAATTCCATTTAAAAAAACTGAGTTTTTAGTCTTTGAAGTTTCATAAATTTGGATATCCATAGGGGCGGTCGTACGCAACTTAACTTTTTTTTAAGTGCACTAAAAGAAAGCCCTATTCATTCTCTATGCACTGATAAAAATAGGTTGCCATGACTACAACCGTTTGCAAGTAATCAATTATCAAGGTACCATCTGCATCCGCCATTTTTTTTCTTAAAGTCAAAATAACTTAAAAACCATAAATGGTAGATATCGACATATGGGTATCAAAAGAAGTGAAATTTCACGTAGAATCCAAAAATGCAATAAAAAATATGGGTTGCCATTTAAAATAACGAAGTTACTATCTACTTCCGGTGTTTCCGGAAGTGCGGCCATTTTGAAAATATTTTACATCGATTCGGCCTTCAGAGTAACTCCTAAGTACAAATTTTCAAAAACCTACCTATTTTACTTTCCCAGAAACTTTTAACAAAAGCTCCCAAAAAAACACCCTGTATAGCTTGTAGCTGGTTTGGGCTAAGCAGATTGGGCTGTAGTTTTTGCACTGCATCTGTATTCCTTTCTTGTATATTGTAATTAAATAGTTATTTATGCATCAAGGGCATTAAGGCGATAGTTATGCAGAGGGCGACAGAGCCTGAGGAGGGATTGTCGGAGGTGCATACAAAATTTTATTTTTCATAGTTCCAAATAATGCATTTCCAATATACAAATGTAACGATTATTGTTTGACCGACATTAAAGTGCTTCATACGAATCAAGTAACATCTTTTTTTATTACATAATATAACTCCATTAATATATTTGACAGGCCGTTTGAGGGCATAATGAGCCGACAATCCATTATGCCCTCGGGCGTCATAAGACTGCTTTATATATCTCATATGACAGATATAATTGGCATATAATAGGCAAATGAAAAATAAAGGTTATTTTGCCAATCACTCGGGATTGTTTGTTTTTCCACGCTTCTTTACAGATGTCCCATACCCATTTTTCCTTTACTCATCTCCAGTGCAATGCGTATTCTCCACTTGCTTTTCCAATTTTGATTCCTGGTATTTCCTCTTTGACTTCTTCTCTCTCAATTGTTTGCTGTTGCACTTTTTCTTCTCTTGTTATTTTGTCTTCCGGCTCTGGTGTGTTATACTTTATTCTGTAATGTTCTTTTCATGTTTCAAGTATTTCTTGTGTCAGCTAGTGTTCGTCTCTGTTTAATTTTAATTGCATTTATTTCTTTCCTTTTATCCCCCCTTCATCTTTTTATTCTCAATTCTCATCCCGAATTTTCTACAGTGTGTTCTGTGATCTCTTCTCCAAACTCCTTCCAGGACTCTTTCTTTGCTCTTTTGATCATTTTTCACTGTGGTTCTCCTTCGAATTTATTCCTCTTTGACTTTCTGTTTTTTTTTTGGTTTGTACATACTGCTTCCATGCTGTTTTCTTATATTTTGTCAGCCTTTGTACCTCGATATTCTACCACCTCGTCCTTTTGCAGTGTTTACTGTATTTTCTCTGTTTTCTTCACCAGTGTTGCTTTGAAAGCTATCCATCTTTCTTCTTCAGTCTGCTTTTCCGTGTTCCAGTTTAAAAATTCTAAATTTCTCTCCTGGTATTTTTCTTTGTTTTCCTTGTATTTGTCTTCTATTATTAGGTCGTTCCCTTTGCAGAAGTAATTTTTATTCCATTTCTATTCAGTGTATCTTCCCATACATCCCATTTCTCTGTAGTAGCCCTACTCTACTGTTGCAGTCTCCCATTATTATTGTCCTCTCATTTTCTTTTATCAATTCACCTAGTATTTATTGTAGATTCGTGTGGAACTCCTGGAGATTTCTTCCTTTGGTGTTCCTTCTACTGGCCCATGTATCTGTATGACGTTAATTGTTTCTTCCATGTTTATACTAATAACTATTACTCTCGAGTTGATTACCTTAAAATCAGTTATTCTTTTGTTCATTTCCTCTGTGACTATTATTCCTACTCCCTCCTTTGCCCTTTATTCTGGTTGCACTGCAGAGTAGTATCGTATGATATTTTTGATAAGTACCTACATGCTTTCTTCACCATTTTTGGTAGTTTCACTTAGCCTGCCTGCTGTTCATTACTTCTGTTATTTCTATTCTTTCCTGTTAGTGTGTTTATGTTCCAAATTCCTATCCCTATCTCTACATTTCATATATCTTTACCTTTTATCATGTCCCTTTTCATAGAAAGTTTCTTTGGTTGTAGCATTTTAAGTTTCTGGTTTTGTGAGGTTTGTTCATATTTAAGTTTTTTTGGGATTGTGCCAGTGTTACTGATAGATCTGATTATTTTGGTTAGTTGTGCTTATGTTTCTTCCTCTGGAGATTTTTCTTCTCTCCTCTTCATGTCTTTTTATTCAATGCGTGATTATTTTCTTACCCCGGTCAACCCGTTGAAGATCAGCTACTTATCATTGCCCTTGCCAATCAAAACAGGAAAACATGTACATTTAAGCCTTTTAAAAACATTTAGTTTCCGACAATATATCACTACAAAAGTTGGAGGAACAATGAATTTTTGTGTGTTGAAAATTAGACCGTTTAGAGCCCTTTATAAACACACACTAAAAACTACCGATTTGATAATTACATTGACATTTCATTGTGAACACCCTGTATCACTAAATCCTACTTTCTCATTACCAAAGTATTACCTTTTACTCGGACTAACATTATTGCGCAAATTTATTCCTAAACTTCAAAAAACAAGATCGCTATGATGCATCAAAGTAAGGCTTACAAATGGGGAATTATTCGGGAAAAAATTAATAGATTGGCATTGACAAAAAATGAATAGCTTCCAATGTAGAGGTTTACAAATGACACCGAAACAACTAAAAATATACAAGGTGTTCTATTAAAACAAAAAGTTATTTATTTACACCATAAAAATGGAACACCCTGTATATTCAAAAATAATTTCTATAGATGCACCAACTATAGTTGATATTTTTTACGAGTAAAGCTAGGGAAGACCGAGGCACTGTTGCTGGACCCATTATACTAAGAGTGCTCTGAACATATCTAACATCAGAGGGGGCTCAGAAATTCAAAAACGGAATAACTGGCCAATCACATTTCCTAATTCGTTGGTTGAATGTAGTCGAACTACTTACAACCACCTGCCAGAGTATCTACTGCTCAGTGCATTGCAACACATACCTGCATGAGATGTCTTTGTAGGTGTCTGAGAAGGTTTAAACAATTGTTTTTTGACATCAGATATGGGCGACTGAAACCTTTCAACAGCAGACGGCCCTGGTGATTGCAATTGATCTAAAAGAAAACACTCGCACATGTTATCCAATTATAAATGTCAACCTACTATTTAAAGAACGTCGAAGTATTTGACCGGGTGCAGGTTGTTCTTCACTGTGCACCATATTCCCTGGTAGCGCGATGTCCTCGAATTTAGGAAAATTCTCCCCCGAATTCGACAAAATTCTCCAAATGGGACTGCCACTTTTCCATATTAAAGATTCGATTATCTTTTGTTCCACCATATTTAAGTGCTTCACAGCGTCTCTTGGTAACTGATCTTGCGAACGAACGATCAGCTCAATCACACGTACAAAGTAAAACGGTTCAACATTCAAAGCGTTCAAAATCCAAGGAAACTTTCTTTGGCAATTGTAAGAGTAGATAATTATCTCCAAACTGCAGGCAAGGGTGCACTCATAAAAGATTTCTTGTACTGCCAAATGCTGGAAGCATAAAATGGATTACACAGTTAATGGAGCGATTCGAGCTACCGAAATATCCGAATGGAGAGTTTTCTCTTTTTGAAAGATGTTTTCGACGAATTTGTAAAATAGCGTAATAGCAAGCTGGAGTCTCTGGTTGGCATAATCTGGTGTAATCATTGGAACAGACGAGCTTTGTCTTGTAAACTCCGTACGAAATTTATCTCCAAGAGATTCTATAATTGTTGCAATTTTTTCAGTGGGATCTATTTTACAACCCCTACAAGAAAAAATTGAAGTTCTACAGAGAGAAAATGAAGGTGAAACATACTGAAGAATTTGTAACAATAATTCACTTGGACCCGACTGACGACCGGCGAGTAAGGATTGTAACCGAGCTACACTTTTGGTTGCTGTAGATAAAGGTGTGCTATCCATTTGTGTTCGGGGATTCACTTTCTTCGCAGATCCGGGTGTTCCGGGTAGTGAATTCTGTAGGAATATGAGTAGATATTACGCTAGTAATGAATTAGTTAGAACATACCTCGCCTGATCGAGACGATTCAGTTACTAGAGCATCACCTAAAATGTTGAGACTGTTAGGAAATACTCTTTTTGCATTTAATGCATTTAATAATGGCTAACAGATATGATTTTCTCTGCCTTTAGTACATGTCAAATGTCAGAAGTTTAAGGCTTGCTGCCTATCAATGAAAATAGAAAAAATAAATAAAAAATAAAAATTGCGATTTCCCCATTATCGTATATCAAAACAACCCCTCGTCAAGGGGTTAGTTCCAATCCCGATCGCCTTCCGGGGACGTTTTTGAATTTTCGACTTGCGCACTCGGGAATGTCGATTAAGCGATAAATTTTTGGAAAATTTCGATTCAAAATGTCGTCTCCGTACTCGGGCACGCAGGAACTCGATATTTTACGTCGATCGGAGCCGTCGACGCGTCGCCGGGCTTCGTCTGGCACATCGAGATGCGAAATAAAAGACGTCGCTCGGCTTCGGCGGCTGCGCTAATTTTTAAACGTTGCTTTGTAGGTCTGTACTTACGATGGGAAAAAGTTAGCCTATTTACTTTTCTCTATTGGAGAATTAATTTAGAATGAAATATTTTACCATGCAATGTTACGATGACGATATGCTATTGGATTAAGTATTAGACAAATAATTAAAGTTGTGCACGTGATAAATGGTTTTACAGATAAGTTATCTGTAGAATTTCTTTAAGCATGAGCAGTTAGCATCCCCAATCAATAGATACTACCTACCTTATACCTACCACTGATACTGATACTGATACAAAATAAAAGTTACCAAATTCTGAGCAGAATTCTACTATACTGAGCTAGAACTATGCCTGGGAGGAAAAATAAATACTAATCTAATCTATATGTATTTGTCAAATTACCAGGAACAATTAGGTATTGCATACTCAATATCTACATTTACAAGTAGCATGCCAGGAAACAGTAATGATTTAATTAATGCCTATAATAATAAAGAAAATTATGTTAATGGAATTAAGATCAAAATTTAAATTAACTAAATTATCCAATTATCTGTTAAACATAGTGGTACAGTTTTCCCACATTCAGTAATTTTTAATGTTTTTAAACATTACATTTTAAATAAATGGCCAATTATCGCATTATGTGTACCAAATAGCTTAATTTAGATATTTAATATTTTCTTTTTTCCGCATGTGAAAATTTCACGTAATCTGAAATATTATGGATTAAGTTTTGGTGGCTTTAAAATGTTAATCGAAAAGGCCCCCCCCCCTCCAATTTAATCAGGACATTGACTGTAGGTGGTATCCATCTCTCAAGGAAAATAAGAGAGCATCTCCTGGTCCAGGAGAACACCGAGATAACTAGTCATTGAGTTTTATGTGGAGAGTTAAAATGATAAATAGGTTTGACTTATTCTATGAAATAAAAATATGTAAAATCATATTTTGTTATTAAAATGTGCATGAACATGCAACCAACTTTTTTATTTTGTTAGTCTGTACCTTTTTAATGCTTATTTGCGGTTTTTTCACAATTTTTATTCTGTTGGCTCTTATTTAGTACACCCACGTTTTCCAACATTGTGATCATCAGTCCACGTGGATGTTTTTTTTGTTTTAGTTTTATACATATTTTTATACCATATGACTGTATGGGATAAACTCATTTCTAGAGGTATTATGCGAAAAAACCTACAAAAAGCAGATTTTTATTTGACAATGTATAGTAAGAGTACCCCCTCTATCACTCCCTCAAAGATTTTAAAGTGAAGAGGATGTAGTAGGACACCTTGTTTAAAAGGAATTTTTTTAATTTGGAGATATACATTTTTTACAATGCCTCCGTCCAAAGCTTTGTAGAATGAAGAAATTTATTATTTAGTTTATTTTTCAATTTACAATTCAAGGAAATGTTCAATATGAAAATATACCAAATATGTGACATTCTTTGTTTCATTCTACTTAGTTTTTGGTGAGATTATATTGGTTGTAAAATAATACATGATGCTGGAGGGGAAATGGGCAATATTTTGGGAAATTAAAGTAGAGGTTATTTGGATAAAAATGCTAATAAACTATATTTTTACTCTCAAGCATTTCAAAGATCAACAATTGCCATTTTATTTTAACTATCTAATTTTAATAAGGTTTTTCTAGTCAACTATAGTCAGCTTGAGGTTAGAATTAAAGTGTGAAATAAATCAACAGTGCATCAAGCAGAATATCAAAACTCAAAACTTTAATATTTTATTAATTTAAATTAGAGGAGACGCCTACATAAGGGTGTAATTTGCGAAGATTTCAGTCACCTAAACGAAATTATCGTGTCTGTGTGCAGGTTCCAGTAGAAGAGGGGCACCGCGCACACTTCCACAGACAAAAAAAAAAAAATATTTAAAATTCAAAAAAGGGTTATTCGCATTATATCAAATGCAGAGTACAGAGCACATTGCAAACCATTATTTATTAACCTAAAAATTATGCCGGTACCTACACTGTACATATATGCATCTTTGTTGGAGATACACAAGAAGAGGATGACGTTCACCAGAGTCTCGGAATTGCATAAGCATTATACACGAAGCTTAAATGATTTAACAATAAAGCGCTTCAAAAAAACCACTTCGAAAAAAAATTCTTTGGACCTCAAATTGTACAATCACCTACCAAATTATGTTAAGGAAAAAAATGATAAATCATTTAAGCAAAAAATTAAACAGTTTCTCTTGAAACATAGTTTCTATAGCACAGAAGAGTATTTGGTGAACAAAGTGGTAATGTAGAGCGGAACATAAATTTTATTATTATTATTATTTACAACGTGATTTTTTTAAAATGTATTTTGTATTTTCGATTTACTATTTATATATACTGTTACTGTATTACCGTAATGTAATGTGAGAGTGCGTGTGTAGGTGTGTATGTCGGTGTGTATGTTTGCAATTTTATACTTATAAATATTACATGTATGACTCCTGTAAATTATTTATAATCCAGCAGGAATAATAAATCTTGAATCTTTGAAGGGCGATTTACCTTGGCCAGCGTGTTCATCAAATTTGGGGCCTTACGATATTTTTATGGGGATACATCGAGGGATACATCAACTTGTATTGCACAGGGCAGGTATAGTGGGGTAATAATTTATTATTATCACTCGTCTTTGAGGAGTCGACCATACCCGTTTATAGGGGAAAGATGTAGAAAAGTGTAGTTAGAATTCAGTGCGAACCCACTATCGGAATAATTCAGTACAAGGTAAATTCTTTTCAATTAACATGAATTAAATGAATTAGAGATATAATATTTGCAAGTAGCTATAATCCTATATAGATCGGCGCGTAGTCTGAAATGAATAAGTGTAACAGATGGGGCGTTGGTCAGGGATGGTCTTAATAAATTAACATGAGAAGTTACAGATTTGTGTATATGCTTTATTATTAATGAAAATTAAGCAGCACGAAATTGGTTTCCTAATTACGCAAGCTGCTATTAAATTATATTTATTTTATAGCAGATGTTAAATTGACATTTTAATAGGTTTGAATGAGTAGGCCAAGTTTAACAGTGAGGGTAGTTAAAGTGATCAGTTTAACCACAACAGATGATTAAGTATTCTAATTACACCTGTCATTCTTATTTCAAATGGGATGAGGAGCACGATATAAGATGACGTTCAGAACAAATGACAATGCTGTTTCTATGGAAACGACCGCGAGGGCAGAATCTACGCTTGCTATTTTTGACGTCTACATTTTAAGTGTGAGTGTTAATCCAGTTTCAATAATATAATAATAATAATACAACAAAGAAACACCATAAATACAATTAAAAAACACAAAACTCCTTCTTCACAGAAACACACCACGTTATCACAACCCACTCGTATTCAACCCAAACGCAAAGCTAAAGAAACACTTACACAATAAACTCCATTTAATAAAATTACAGGAATTATTATAATGATTTTTTTTTTGTTTTGTTTTCCTCTTTCCTGATAGCGTTGGCTATTGTGCCCATCAATAGGTATGTTGGTAAGTACGAATTACATACTATCCCTAGATGTCCAATGTACGTGTGTGATTTTTATTATTTTTTATTTTTTTTAAAGGACCCTACATAACTTCACCAGACACAGACACAGATACTAATCGTACTTGATTTTAATCCGTGCGATTAGTTAACCAGGCTAGACCTGAGTTCTCACAAGAAACACCGACCATAATAATAATAATAATAATAATAATAACACATGCCATATTGTTCGTAAATTTCTAAACATAACACAAGATACTACATACACAAATGATCCACAACGTATACATGTAAACAACAGTACTCGCTCACAACACGGTACACAACATACTGTAATATCTCAACCTCTAACCCAAACAAACACACAAATACAACTTACCGAGCAAACAAGTACAACAAATGATACAATATATAGGTACTACAATCAGAGATTCACCTCTGAAGCAAACCACATTATCACGACCCATTAGTATTCAACCCAAACGCAAAAGCCTAAACAGCACTTTAGACTCACAACATGACACACAACATACTGTAATATTTCCAAACTTAACTCAACCAACCACACAAACACAACTTCCTGAACCAACAAACGCAATAAATACAAGTAACGCAACACGCACTACAAAGACGCCCTCACCCACACGGCCTAGCACAGCTAAAAAACACAATACTCTTTCTTCTCAGAAACACACCACGTTATCACAACCCACTCGTACTCAACGCAAACGCAGCAACCTTAACAGCACTACAGGCTCACAAAGTACTGTAACGTCTCCACCAATAACCCAAGCAACCACACAAATACAACCTCAAGAACAAAGAAACACAAGAAATACAAGTAACGCAACATGCACTACAAAGACAGGTCCACTCAATAAAGTTACACGCCCTAGCACAGTTAAAAAACATAAAACTCATTCTTCACAGAAACACACCACGTTATCACAACCCACTCGTATACAACCCAAACGCAAAAACTTAAACAGCACTACTAGCTCACAAAATACTGTAATATCTCCACGAATAACCCAAGCAACCACACAAATACAACCTCAAGAACAAAGAAACACAATAAATACAAGTATCGCAACATGCACTACAAAAAAAGGTCCACCCAATAAAATTACACGTCTTAGCACAGTTAAAAAACACAATACTCCTCTTTCTCAGAAACAACCCACTCGTATTCAACCGAAACGCAACACCCTTAAAAGCACTACAGGCTCACAACATACTGTAATGTCTCCACCAATAACCCAAGCAACAACACAGATACAACCTCAAGAACAAAGAAACACCATAAATACAAGTAACGCAACATGCACTACAAAGACAGGTCCACCCAATAAAGTTACACGCCCTAGCACAGTTAAAAAACACATAACTTCTTCACAGAAACACACCACGTTATCACAACCCACTCGTACTCAACCCAAACGCAAAAACCTAAACAGCACTACTAGCTCACAAAATACAGTAATACCTCCACCAATAACCCAAGCAATAACACAAATGCAATCTCAAGAACAAAGAAACACCATAAATACAAGTAAGGCAACATGTACCACAAAGACAGGTCCACCCAATAAAGTTACACGTCCTAGCACAGTTAAAAACACAAAACTCCATCCTCACCGAAGAACACCACGTTATCACAACCCACTCGTATTCAACCCAAACGCAAAGCCAAAGAAACACTTACACAATAAACTCCATTTAATAAAATTACAGGAATTATTATAATGATTTTTGTTTTGTTT